GATTTCTTTCTCTCTCTGGCAAGACACATCTACAGCAAATACACTTCAAATGTTAAACATCAAACCACCTTTCTGAACAAAAAAGCATTGTCCTTGTAGTGATTCTGACTTTGCAGCTAAAGCAGAACTCCTTATGTGTTGTGGAAAACACAGTTCAGCTGCTCCCTCTTGTGGCACAAAGTCATACTGGTAAGAAAACGCACATCATGTTAAAGCCTGAAACAGCTCACAGTGCAGAGTAAAGGAGGAAGCTGCTGTCGTCTTTTGTTGGACTGAAAACGTCCAGACTGTTTGTTTCCACAGCACATGGTAAAGAGCAGCTGTAACAGAAAGGTCATAGTCATTGAAAACTGGATAAATGCAGCAGTGTAGCCACCACTTTGACCGCAATGATGTGTCTGTGAAGATTCTCATCCAGGTCATGGTTATTCTGGTAGATTAATGGTAGCAACTGGACTTGCTTGAGTTCCTTGAAGACGTTTCACCTCTCATCCAAGAGGCTTCGTCAGTTCTGACTGACGAGTTGGGAGTTCAAGATACTTATACCCTTCAGGAGCCATTAACACCTGAGTTTCAGTTGGATTCTTAAGGATATAAGTATCTGGAACGCCCAACTAGTCAGTCAGAACCGATGAAGCCTCTTGGATGAGAGGTGAAACGTCTTCAAGGAACTCAAGCAAGTCCAGTTGCTACGATTCATCTACCAGAATAACCAAAATGGTGGTGTTTCATTGTCACAACGTTACGGATAATTCAGCTGAATCTCTGCACCCAGAAGTTCATCAGCATGTTTTCAGCATGAAGTCTCAACCTGCTAATAAGCGGTATTATTTTCATTTGGTCACCCACAGTCGAGACAGTCATTTAAAGCTGTTGGCAATGAAAGCATAAAAAAAATGTAAATAATAAGACTGTGAGGTCATGTGCATCGAGCGAAACAGCAGCTGGTCTTCTTTCATGCATGTAGTGATCGAGTTTTATTAACTTTACCTGTTACTTGACTTCTTTTTTTTTCTCCAAAACTGGATCATTCAGTCCTTAAAAACATCCACCCATCCATTATCTATACACCGCTTCATCCTCACTAGGGTCGTGGGGGGCTGGAGTCTATCCCAGCTGACTCAGGGCGAAGACAGGGGACACCCTGGACAGGTCACCAGTCTATCACAGGGTTACACTTAGAGACAGACAACCAAGCACACTCACATTCACACCTA